ATATACACACATACACACACACACACACATATGGATGTGTGTATGTGTACACGTATAAATGTGTATATATTTTTATTTTTATTCTATTTTTGTTAAAAAGTGGCAGATGTTGATTTTTTTCTTCTTCTGCTTCCTTTCATTTTGTGAGATTTGTGTTTCTTTTTTTTTGTTGTATTGAAATTTTTGTTTTTAATCGAAATGAATAAACGATTAAACTAAAAAAATACCTAAAAAGTAGCTTGAATTGCAGAAAACAACTCAAAGAAACATGAAAATCTTAAAGTAGCAGAAACAAGCTGACTGAAGCACAAAAACTGAATTAGCAGAATAACTGAAAAGAGCAGAAAGATAGCTGAAAAGCAGAAAACATATATTAGCAAAAATGAAGCTGAAAGAGGCTGCGAATAGCAAAATAAACTTAAAAACAAAAGGTGTGAAGTGCAGGAAATGTTTAACTATTTAGAAAGATTTTTAGGATGTTGAAGACATCTCCATTTATTTTCAACAAGCAGAAATAATGGATATAAACGTCAAATATCTCACGCAGAATAAACTATTGAAATACCCATAGCCATAGCCGGAAAGAGTTGTACTTTTTTATATATGAATTGTTGAAATAGCATAACAAAAACTGTGGAATAAGATACAYGTTGAAAACGAATGGAAGAAGTCGGATTATCTGAGTAATGTGAATGCTTCATAGCATTTATACAATAAAGCACTATTCCTCTCATTAAACAGAAGTATTTATTATGTAATGAAATATTTTCTCTTACCTTCACCAAATCTTTCGAGTAGCTGCTCTTTAGTCCAGTTACAGGAAGTGATAGAGAAAAAGCCATTGTCTTTAAGAGCAGCTTTTAGAGCTTGGACATACAATTTTTTGCCCTCCTTGGTATTATCTGGGTTCAGACTGATTGCATCAAAAGTTCCCTTATCGATGCAGACATCAAAACCTTTCAGCTTCCCTTGAGAGTTTAGAAAATCCATCTCCTAAAGTAAAACAGAAAGTCAAAACTTAAGAGTCGTGGATTTTTTTTTAATCTTAAACATCTAAAACTGTTAAAATGGAAATCATGCAATAAAATAGAATAAAATATTTTTTGTTTAATTTCAGTGTCAGAAATGGTGGTGTCACAGCAGCTAACTCAAATCTGCCCAGACTTGCCCAAGTACCAGTGAAAGGACCCCTTTATCTGGACGGAGGGGAAGAACACCAGACCTCCGGTGTGAACTCACCGGCCACATACTCATAAACCATGTGCCACAAAATATTCGGTTTATGGAGGAGCAGCAATAATGGCTCACTGGAGTCAGAAAAAAATACATGTTTGTGAGTTTGAACATGTAAAATGTAAAAAAAAAAATCTCAAAGAAAACTGAAGATGCAGGTACAGCCCAATGTAAATGGAGAAGGGCTGGACTGTAGATTTAAAACCATAAATAAAAGCACAGTTAAATTATTTTGGCAATTCCAAACACTTCATAAATGACCAAAGTGCCAACATTCCTCTCTCACACGCTTCCCGTTCTCACCAAGGGTCAATATTGACTTTAATGGCAGTGCCTTCTGCCCAAGCAAAGTGCCCACCTTCATGGGTGTGTAATGTATACAACATAAGAAACAAGAGCATGCACATACAAGGGAAATTCATTCAACGTGCTTCAAAAGACCACCTACCATTTATAACCTGTTTTTTTYTTCTTCTGAACATGCGAGTGGTCCTGCCAGTTCTTTTAAGGCTTGAGGTGGGCAGACTCTCACCACTTTCAAGGCCTTTTCTTCCCAACCAACTCTCCCCACATGGTAAACATGGCAAAGGTTTCATAAACCTCAGTGGGCCAGAGTTCACTCTAAAGCTATAGTGTCCCAGTGGTAATTTAGATTTGTGGGGCATTCAAGCAGATTAGCTTATCAAGGTACACAAAAGTTAAATGTTCAAGAATGGTAAATATGTATTTTGCAGAGAACACTCTTCCCCTTCGGCTTATGAAATATTCTGCCATACTAATAACCATTTCAATGAATAAATGACACTCAGATATGCTGCATATTTGCTTTCAAGACCATCCGTCTGTACCGAGTCTCTTCATACCCTTCAGCAATTGGGATAAATGATGATGAAGTCCACTTTTTTTGCATAATCTTAATTTAGTTGAAACATTGTGGAATCATAAGTTTTGACTTGTGTAGTTAATTTTATTTATTTATTTATTTTTTTCTTTCCATGTGTTGTATCTAAACCTATGGAAACATTTTTCCTTAAAAGGTACTGAAACAGTAGGGCAGGCAGGTTTTTTGTTTTTTCTTTTCTCAATAATTTTGCTTCTTTATTAACTAAATCCACTACAGATGTTGCTTCCAACAAGCTTTAATTTAGTTTAAATCCCAACCTAATATGTTAAAAATCCCCAGTAAAGATTTTTAGACTGCGTGTGCTTATATTTGTTGGTGATAGTCTAGAGACTGTACAAGTGTCAGCAACTGTGGCACCGATTTTGGAGAAAATGTTTGTTTTATCATAAACGTGTTGCTTTCTAAATTAATATTTATATGTGTTAATAAACCTTGCTCAGCATGTAAGTTATAAGATTTGCAGCTAAACTACAGATGTTAAAACTTAATTTTACAAGCATTTGTTTGCTTGAACAGAACACTTTTATTTCCTTCAGTGTTYCTTTGTATCATGCAAATCTGCATCGTATAGGAGTATTATGAACCCACCTTTACAGTGACATCAGTCAAATCTTCTGCCTGCAGAACTTGTCTGGCTAATTGTATTGATGCTGGAGAGTAATCGATACCAGTTAGATTCCTGTATCCATGGTTTGCCTGGACATCAAAGACAAAGTAAGTAAAGAATATGTTTAACTCATAATAACAGTTTTGTCAAACTTGCCATACACTAAGAACTCAGATTACCAGAAGCACATGCTGTCTGCTTGATGTAATTCACTCCATTTTATTTAAATTTTAAAATGTGAGTGCTATAAAAGCGTAAGGCATGTATACTGCTTAATAAGCTTTAATAATAACATGTATCTTATTACACTGGCTAAGTCAGAGATAATGCTATGTTGGCAAATTGACCCGATTTAGTAAAAATTAATTTTTGCAAAGACTTGAATGAGAATGTTGTGAAATCGCATTTATATCAACTTCTTTCCCACCAGTTCAACTAGAAAGGCCCCATTTCCTGTGCCAATGTCAAGAATGGCAGCRCTTTCGGGGATTTTAGCTTTGTCCATCCAGCGCAGCACGCGACTCATGCTTTCCTCGCCAAACCTGACAGGAAACACAACAAGCAGACTTTAACAGCTGTTATTAGGAACAACAAGTCATTAAAGCAAAACAAATTATTGTCAGTCATGTCAGGTCCCGAGTAGTGCCAAGTTACGTTAGCAAGAAAGACTTGTTCTTACCAAATCTCACCAACATCTCCTATGTCTGTGAATGTATCAAGTTCTTTCTGATAGGTTTCCTCCCAGCTGCAGAATAGAACAGTCAGTGYTTTAAATACAGCACAATATAGCATTTTGTTGCATTGCTAAAATTGCAGATTATTGCACAAAATCCAGAGTTGTAAAGTAACTGAGTACAAATACTTTGTTACTGTACTTAAGTTGAATTTTTGGGTATCTGTACTTTACTTGAGTAATTATTTTTCAGCCTATGTCTTACTTCTACTTCTTACATTTTCACACAATTATCTGTAYTTTCTACTCCTTACATGTTTAAAAAAGGCAAGAAGTAGAAAGTCATTACTTTTATTTTATTTTTGCTTGTTTTCATTCCAGCTTGTTATTGTAAAAAATAAATACTATCCATATAAATTGTGCCGCCTAGATAGAGTGAATTTAATTGTGGTTGAATAACAAGTATAAATATATTAAATTCTGATATCGTATTAGTTTGTACACAAACAAATCATGTCACACTGCAGCAGGACATAATTATTAAAATTAAAGTACTGTACTTAAAACGTATTTGTATTTCATGAATTATATTATTACATTTGGCCTGCAGGCCTTGGATAGATTTTCATTTTGGAGAAATGTTTTGTGCAGCCTTGATATACGGTATGTATATAAACTGAAACATCTGGACTGGTGCATCCAAAATTTAACAAATTAATTATTTTATTATAACATATTCATTTCTGCATTTTTTWTTTWTTTTTTTTTTTTTTTTGGGGGGGGGGCACCTCCTAAATGTCCTTACAGAAAATCTAACTGCTCATTTTAAATCAATACTTTTACTTTTAATACTTGAGTACATAAAATATCCTTTAAGACTTTTACTCAAGTGATATTCCTAAAGGAGACTTTAACTTTTACCCAAGTATTTTTTTTGTAAGATACTTGTACTTTTACTCAAGTATCACTTTGTGGTACTTTATACAACACTGACAAAAACTGAATGAAAAACCACTAAGCAGCTTTGACTCATGCATACAATGTTAGAAAACTTATTCTATAATAAATTCAAACTTTTCTTGAAAGTTGTTCTTTCCTTTACTATTTTTAGTCAGAACAAATATGGTTTACTACATAGCTTAAAAATGACAAATATTCAACTTTCCTACTGGAAATATAAAATCTAATAGTAACTGCTGATAGTTGTGTTTTCAGACTAAATTGATAAGAGCTGTATCTTATGCTAGCTACTAGCAGACAGTGTGCAACGATCAGTTCTACGTTTCAGTCCAAAAAAACAAGATGAACAGTACTCACTATTCTCTGGTGCCRAGTTTTGACGTTTCAAAATCATTATCTGAGCATCTATCTTCCTCGGAATCCGAGCTATTTTCGCAGCCATGTGAGCTTTCTCCAGCCTCTGCCATGCTACAGCAGATAGTGTCAAAACGTTTCCGCCTACATTTCCCATAAGAACTTGCGTCAGAGGAGCTGCTTGCAACCGCAGGGGGCATTGGGATTGATAGGGATGTTTCCATCATGGCGGCTTCCATTTCAGGTTATACTTTCAGTTCTGTGTGTTATCACAGCGCTAATAGCAACTCGGATCATGTAAGTATTTAAATTTTCTCTTTAAAAACTACACTTGGGTGGTTACTATCGTTTACAAAGCTCGACGGCGCGTCTGGTAGTCCATTAACGCCATTGTTTTGTGTTGTTTTCCGGTGTCATCTTCCTGTTGTTGGTTCCGTCTATCTACCGGCAAAAATGATTTGATCAGACTGTGTAGTGACAAAAACAAAAAGACAGGACTGATCGTCTTAGGATCTAGTGCATTACATTTAGACGTGTTAAATATTAATTTGTAGAAACAAATATTGAGAGCTACACATTTGATAGCTAGTTATACGAATTCATGCAAAGTTTGAAAACCAGGAAATAGCCGGTGGTTAGCTACTTAGCATGAAAACATTAGCTACCAAGTCAAGTGACTTCCGTGTGTCGATACAGCTAATCTTTACGGCCACTTCCTACTGTACTATTATGAACATAAAAAAAATAACAAACACACATGTAAATGTCAACCAGAATATTAGAATAACACGGAGCTAACACATCGTACATTTGTTTTGTTTTTGTTTTGCAGCTTCTTGCTAGCTCGTTTTTTTATTTTGTCAGTTTTAGCTTGCCAAGTCGTTCTCGAAACCCACGAAATGCGTTCGATAAGTAGCAGTAAATGATAGTAAGCTCAACTAAAGTTACTTTTATTAGCATAACTTAGTCCCTAAAAAAATCACCATGATGAAGTCCGTCTGTACTTCAAAACACGTTTGCCTGCATTCCTAAAATACTTCCTCATGGTGTCATTTACCGCTGTGGCTAAAGCAAAAAAAAAAGTTCAAGTTGTCTGCAGTAGTTTAACAACTAAATAAATCTTATGTTTTAAAGATAAATAGAAAAACCTCAATTGCAGTATAAAGGTCAATGGATTAAAAGCTCTTAAAAAGAGGTCTTGTAAAATCACTGTAGCAAATTGAACTTTTAAAAATGTATTCATGTAGAACAAMTTAAGCTATTATGAGCTAATTCTAGATCCTACTATGATTCTGTTTGACTTGCAATTTATACAAAAAAGTTTTTGCTTGCAAGTTTGAAAAAAAAAACCCTGTTAACATTAAACATAAACAACATAAAAAAATCAAATGTTTATTTCTTTAGGATTTTCTCATCACAAACATGTGCACTGTGGGAGTATTGCCTTCATGATTTATTCCATAGTAATGCTTAACGACAAGTCTTTGAAAATGTCGTTACACAGGAGGGCTTCCTATTAGGAGACGTAAGACAAGAAGAAACTGTCAGCATCAGTGATGCGCAGATTAGCAATGCAGAGCTGCTGCAGGTAGTAGGTAAGCACAGAAACAAACAAAACACTGGTTTTGTTACACTTTCTGTAAGCAGTATGGATATCGCTGAATTAGTTATTCTGTGATAAGTAATAATCTTGAGGCACAGTAAAAAGGCACAGATTTTTTTTGTGTTTTTGGCGGGCATTTTGTTTTGAATTCAGCACAGGTTTAAGGGAAATACATTATGTTTAATTTCTATTTAAATCTTGATTGTAACGTAAAACAACACCACCAAAAACAACTATAAGTAACAAACACAGAGTTTAGCAATAGTTTTGGGTCTACACTCTAGTTAAAGTTTGATTAAAGTGGATAATTGACACAGTAATTAAGAGCTCTGTTACTGTTTGTTCCCACCAGAAATCCATAACCATGATCCTTGTGCACAGTTGTTTAGGTAAGCTATGACTTATTTACTCTCATACAACTATTTTTATGAAATTTAGTCAGAAACTTAGAAATGCAATTATTGTGAAGGAAAAAAAACATGACTGGTTTAAAATAATTTAAAAAAATTGTGGCCTGTTGTGATAGTCACACATTAGGTTTTGGGTTAGATTTATGTTTAGGTCACTGAGCATAATCTGACTGAATTACTATCCACACATTCTAATGTAGCTGAATTAATTTCACATATCTTCAGACAAAACAGGATAACAGATGAATAGTGTGTCAGAACCTTACATATGTTGAACCTTACTGAATGTGTCGTAACTTAACTTGCTTTTCTTATTTTCCTCTTTTATCAGCTTTTATGACTACGCAGGTAAAGTCAATGAAGAAAATCTCAACAGCATCCTTAAAAATAGACGAAAAGTGAGTTCTTTTCTTCTTTAAGGGTGTSAACAGACTCATGGTCATGAAATTTGTTTTCCCCCTTTAAACCAAATCATTAATTTNTTTGTTTGTTTGTTTATTCTTATTTTAGGGTCATTTCACTTACCCTGATGTGTCAATGACCAAGAACTGGCACTCAACATGTTGGTTAAGAATTATCCATAGTAACAATCACATGATGGAGAAAAAAAATGTCAAAATCTTGTTAGGAGTATGATTTCCTTTCAGTATTGGAATGTAATGAGGAAATAAATAATGAATGTATAGTAAGCAAAGGGTGTGGGGGTGGCATTTAAACAGCACTTATTGTATAAGCTTGTCTCATTTGAGCATTGTTATATATATATATATATATATATATAATTTATTCTTTTGCATTTTTGATTAATAAAAATATGCTTGGAAATGGTTTTGTACAGAATCCTAAAATACAAAGTTTAATAGTTAAATAACAGAATTGTTATTATTTATTTTTTGCCATTTAGAATGTTATTGGTTGGTACCGGTTCCGGAGGAATTCGCAGCAACAGATGTCTTTCAGGGAGCAGATTATCCACAAACAGCTCACTCAGCTGCTTGGTGTGCCCGACCTCGTCTTCCTTCTTTTTAGCTTCATCTCTACTGCCAATAGCTCTACACATGCACTGGAGTATGTGCTCTTCAAACCTAACCGCAGGTGAGAATGACTTGTTGAACACACATACCCGTACCTTGCCACACTAAGATCAGATCATTCAATTCTACAGACCAAAATGTATCTGCGAGGTACTTATCACATTTTCTTTGTTGGTCGTCAGAAACACTTCGTCTTCCTATGTTCTAGTTTGAGCCAATCTGGTTGCACCCAGGCTTTGTTTTTATACTTGTAAAACTGCTACAATTGGCTTTTCTGGTTTTTGTTTTTATATTAAGCCAGTTTCTCAACTTAAACAATGAACAGTAGGATACTGGCCTCTGAGGACATTATTGCCTCTTTGTTGGTGATCTCATTTTACTTCATAGCAAGCATCCCCACTGGATTATTATCCATTATTCTGTAATTAAACGTATACTAAACATGTAATGATTTTCTAAGACTCTATTATTCTTATAATCCCCATCTTAATATTATTATTATAAATTGCTCAAAAGCAATAAATACATATTATCAAGTTAAAAAGTCTGCGTCTAGGATTCTGTTACCTTAAGAAATAATGTATGACTGCATTTATTTAATAATAAACACAGTTGAAATTTGAGAAAAAGAAAACAGTAACTATGTTGACAAATCTGAGCTGGAGTATTACGATAAACAATCTGGAGTGATGCAGTTTTTGTAGAACTTTAAATTAGGAATTGAAATAGCTAATGATTTGTGCCCATTGTTCATTATATGGAAGGTTAGTTTTTAGGTTTTTTTTTATCAAAGTCCTTTTTATTTCTGCCCCCTTTAATTTTTAAAAGATTGTTCTTTAAGCAAAGCAACGAGTCCCTGATTGCACATTGGTCTGTACATGAATGTGTTGGATTGGCTTTTATTAAATTGCAAGTGTCATTTTTTAAAAATGGGTACACCACTTTTATGTAGGTTTGAATTCTTTGTGTTTCATAAATTGTGCTCTGAAGGTGCCATTTCCTCTCAGTAGGTACAACCAGAGGATAACCCTCACTATTCCAAACCTTGGCAACACAAACCAGCAGGAATACAAAACCTCTTCGGTACCCAACACTTCACTCAACTACGCAAAGGTCATCAAAGAGCATGGGTACGTTTTGAGCACTTTTTTTTTTTACATCTGACTTATGTCAGATTTCAGTTAGGTCAGTCACATGCATGGTATGAAATATAAAATGTAGAGCAGCTACCTGTTTTCACCTGATGAGGGGTTACGTAACCAACGCAGCACTACCCAAGCTGTATAAAAATGTTTTCCATTACCTGACAATTTTTTTTTCTATGTTGATAATTAAAAACTAAAAAAAAAAATCTCAAAGAACGTTATTAACACAGGGTTTTTTTTAATACTGCAATTTAAATTTAAATATGTAATAAAAGTCTGTTTTGGTAAATGTTTCATCAGGGCGGAGTTCTTTGACAAAGACGGTGTGATGAAGGACATCCGAACAATATTCCAAGTCTATAGTGCACTACAAGATAAAGTCCAGGTGAGATGAAAAATGTGCATTTGGTGGATCTCGTCATCCACAAAAATTTAAATTCTTTGCTCAGTAGATGTGTTGCATTTGCTTGTACTTATTTTTTCAGGCTGTGTGTGCGGAGGTAGAACAAAGTGAACGTATTAAAGAGAAAATTCAGCAAGATGTGAATAAACTGAAACAACAAATTGCTCTCAGGAAGCGAATGGCAGCAGAAGAGGAGAGAAGTATGTACCTTTTGTGGTTTCTGTTGAAAAATATGAGTCATAAAATGTCAAATATGTGCTGGTTTAGGTCTTTTGAAGCATTGGCTGACTTTAGACCAAGAGTACAAGAAAAAATGGATGTTTTGAAGTAATTATTTTATTATTTACTAGCAGTTAGTTTTATGTGCTGTTTTTACCCTGCAGATTTCAGCTTTTTTTTATAAGTTGTATCTCTCTCTCTCTCTCTACCTTTTTTTTGGAAAGGGCGCATTGAAAACTCTCAATCCACTGAAGTGGAGAACACAGAACCTTGCGAGGCTTCTCTTCTATCCAGGATAAATTTTGAAGCCCCCTCCGCCCCAGAGCGGCCCAGTACCTCACCAAACCCACCTTCCTACACTGACCTCTTGTCCCAGGATGACAATCTGCTCTGCTCCTCGTCCCCACCAACCAGTGCTGCTCTGTTGCCCCGGCCCCAAGCCGTGGGCTCTCCAGGACACCCTACCCCTGTCCYGCTGGGGACGGACCTGGGTCTCGGCCTCAGGCTGGGCATGGGCCTCAACGCCAATTTGAATCCCGTTAGCACTCCCAGCACCCCGTACCTCGGCAACGGTGACGGCTCAAGCTCCGATTCATTAGATAGACAAGCTGCCGGGCAAGAAGATGACGACGACGACGATGAAGAGGATGACGAAAATGATGAAGATGAGGATAGCAGTGAATATGAGAACTTAGTAAGTGAAGGAACTCGTTTAGCTATGGTCTCAGCCGGCGTTTTAGCTCATGGTCGACCCGCTGCCCTCAGCCCCGATGGGGACGCTCGTGGCTCACAAATGACATAGAAACACGCCACAGGACGTGAGAAGGACATAAATAGCGAACACCTTGAGAGGTGGGCATCTGAAGCAATCAAAGATAAGCAAATGTAGACAAAAGAAGTGCCAGTCCTGAAAGTGAAAGGCATGTGCAAGTGGTGTCCCGCTGTGTCATTCTTGTCGTCTTAGTCAGATCTCCATTTTAAGGGGAAACCTTACCAGGCTTTGCAGGTTCATCTCACTGGGCTTTAAACTCGTMTGTTTTCATATTCTCTCAGAACTGAGGTTGATCATGGTACGTAAGTTGTGGGTCTGTCTCGTTCCCAAGTCAGATGTGAATTTTACAGACCAATTTATGCCAGCTGGTTGGCAGACTTGATTTTGAAAAGACAAGCCACATGTTTTTTTATGTTTTATGTCTGCATCTTTTTGTCTCACATTTGCATCACAAACTTTAATCTCCCTTTCTTGCATTACCTCTTGCACTGTATTATGTTTTCTGAGCAGTCCCTTTAAAACCGTAAAGGGAAGAAACTCGGCAGTCTTTGGTCTTTGTGGTTACTAACTTTATTTCTGAAATGATATACATATATATATAAGATTATTTTATGTTGGACTCCATCTTTCACAGTTTTGAAGAAATAAATCAAACAGTTGTCTATTTAAATAATGAAAAATAGAAGCAAAATTGACTCTGCCACTTCTCTAATGGGTACTTTATGTATGCATATGTATGTTACATTACCTGTTAATCTAATTTGATTTATTATGGAGTCAGTGTCCTTCTTTTCTATGGTTATATTTAAATTATATGCACTTTGCTGCACTTAACAAAATTGAAGATCTTTACTTTCTTGTATTATACCAATGGTGACATTGTGCCACTTGTCCTCTTTAATCATCCTGAGCCAAATTCAGCATTTTTTTTCTTTGCATTGTATAGGGTTCACAGTTCCAACACAGTGTACTGTAGCTTTACTAACCAGATGTTTAAAGGTCCCTTTGCTGCTGCAACACAGAATTACTACTAAACGTTGCAATTGTCTGTTCTTTTTCATATAAAATATGGCTGCTACTTTCATTTTACCATGTTTRTTGTCTTAATACTACTGACCATGTTCGCATTACCCATTCAAACACCCTTATCACTGACTCGTCTCTATTAAAGCAGCAATAGAAGGCAGATACCCACTGTAGTGTTTGAATTGTAACCTTGGAAATGGACACGGATCTCTTGCCTACTTGTCTTTGCATATTTGACCGCTGCGCTGATCTATTTTCACTATTGTGGGTCAGTGTTACATATGTGGACCTAAATCATGTTAATAAAAACATCATGACCCGTGCTTTAGTATACAGTGCCTTCCACTCAGGTCAGTTTATATCTGCACACAACACATTCACAGCTCTTTAGAAAATATATATGTTTGCAGCATTCTAACAATAGGTTCTTTAGCTGATTGCTCTTTTTAAATGTGTTCGATCTACCTAAAATAATCTTTACTTATTTACCTTAATGTCTTTTAACTTCTAAGTTTACCTGCATCCCATGGTTGCAAATGTGATTCTTTTTATTTTTTTTAATTATTTGCTGCCGAATCATTCAAAACTGGAAATGCAGCCAAGCCCAACTAACCAATCAGCCTGTAGGGAAAAGTTGGTGAGGAGAATGACTGGCATGCAGGAAAGTGTGTTTACACATCTGACCTGGGTAAAGCATTTACCTGCCTTGCATGAACTGGYTGTTCTGGACACCAGTTGAATCCAGCATGAACAAATGTTTGCACTGCACAAGATACGTGGTGGTGGCAGACACTTTGCCTTGTGAACAAGCTTTGCTTTACTTACACAGGTTCTTTATATATGTGTGGTTTTTTTGTTTGTTTGTTTGTTTGTTTGTTTG